GTTTCTCAGTGTTATTGCCATCTGCTTTTTTAGACCAAGAAAGTTACAAGAAACCAACTCTAATTTCTTACTCAATGCAATTGAAGGCTCAGGCCACAACATTCCAGTTCTAACCTTCAAGGGAATGTTAATCTCCTGAAAATCTACTGGCAATTTAAAATACAAAATTTCTATCGTGTCAGTCTTTGCAGGAGATTATTTTGAGCTTTTGTATTTGGGGCCAATTTTGGCTTATGAGCTTAGTATGTGCACTTCAAACCTTTCACATTTTATTTTCTATACTTCAGTTAGCTTTTCTGAAACTACAAGAGCAGCCGTGCTGGTTCCCAGTGACACTATGGAGCCTAATGTCCTATTGCCAAGGGGCCCTTAGGTGTCTCTGCAGGTGCAGCTGCCCAAAGCCTGGCAGTGGAACCAGGAGGAATCTCATAAATTTTATTTGACCTGTGTTATAACACCAGGTTCACATCTTTGTTTCAGTGGGGTTTAGGATGAAATGGTATTTGAAAGGGCTGAAAAACTGTCAACCATCAGGAACTAATTTCTTAATTTGAAATCTGATGGAAAATTTTATAATGAAATAAAGGCTCTTGATGAATTGGGAAATGTTTTCCCTTAAATCATCTTGTAGACTGTGAAAAATTGAGTATATAAAGAGGAAAATATGAAAGGTCAAGTAAGGTCTAAAAGAGTTTTTAGTTACCATGGCTGTTGTACTGGAAGCCATTATGATACCACGGTCCCAACCACTAGCTTAATAAATTGGAGACAAACTTATTATATCACCTTTCATTTTAAGATTATTTTGAACTGCTCTGTAAAAACTATCTATTAGGATCATTTTGATTGGTTCTGAAATACCAACCTTAAAGGTGGGATGACTTTTTGGGGTAGTGCCTGAAAAAGTTCCAGTATCACGCATGGCAGTTCAGATGTTTTTTGTTTTACCCCCAGTGCAGCTGGGTTTGATTCCGCACCCTGCTAGCGCGAGTTGGGTGCATCATTATCCCACCACTGTTGTCACTAGTTGCAGCTAATCTAGGAAGACGGATCCGTAACTGATCCATAAACGAAGATAGAGATTTCCCAGAGTTGAAAACATCTGACATTTTACAAAGTACTTCTCCTCTCCCCTTCCTCCAGGATTCACATACACTCTTTGTTTCTGCCCCAAACCCGTTTAGTACATTTTAAAGTTGCACCTTTGCTAGTGTTTCCTAACGCTGTTGTGGAAAATCTTCCGAGTTTATGATTACCAGAGGTGTGACTGCTATTACAGAGGGAATGTAAACTCCTACCTGTTGTTGGGAGTGTACCAGTGCCTGCTGAATCCACCACTGCACGCGGTGGTACGCTGCTCCTGGTTTTACTTTTTCTGTTCTCTCTTGCTTTACTGACTTTTCTACCCTGTTTGAAATGCACTGAATTTCTTAGGCTAGCAAAAGAGCCCAAGGTGTGTATGGGTGGTATGAATTCTTTTTTTATAATACCCATAAGGCTTTTATCAAAGGCATAGTTGATCAGGATTTACATGAGTGTGGTTTCAGCTAACATCTGCATTGCTGGAATCCCAGCTTTTCTTGTCTTGGAAAACTTTTGTGAGGATTTGAAAAATCAAGGGAAATGGGAAGGAGAGTGGCCTCCTTCAAGCCCCACCTTCCAGTTTCACAAGGAAAATAAAAAGTCATCCAAGAGACTCTCTGAGTTGCTTGGATGCACGACTTCACAATTATTTTTGCACTCAGCCCAGCTTTGCTTAACGCTTCTACAGCTATGAAATGTAAATATGGGTAAGTGTCTTAAGATATGTGTTACCCTTTTATTATGGACGTCACAGTTCTCTTACTCCAAAACTATGAAAGAGGCTTTCATTCCCTGCAATAAATGTTTCTCAAGATGTTGAGAGTTTGAGTTTTAATTTTTCAAAAAGCAATTAGCTGATTAGTTGCTTGATTTGATGAAGCAAATGAGTAGTTGATTGTGTTTGCTTGGTAATGACTGAAGGTAGAAGCAGGTTAGCAATAATAATAGGTGAGATTTTAAATCTTGTTGAGCTACTGTGATAAATCTCCAAAGTTTGACAGTTAGCCACTTCTGTCATCTTTTAACTTTTCCTCAATTTCATGCTGTCTGGAAAAAAAAAAAACCAAAACAAAACAAACCCCAAACAACAACTAACACCTGTAAAGTTGAAAGAAATAATACCAAGCCTCGACAAATAAGTCCTAACTACAGGATGAAGTAATCGGTGTTCTGGGATGTGCATGCTTATCTTGATGCATACTAATTTTGCTTGTTGTTCAGGGACAGCAAGTACACAGCTTACCTAGGAGACATTGAAACTAGTAAAAGTAAGGGTGGAGTCCAGGTGTGATCATATCCAAAAGAGCAGGAAGATAATTTGTCTGTAAGGCTAACCTGCTTTAGTAATATGAAAAACTTAATGAGATGGAAATGATGATGATACGGTTTTCAGTAGGGGCTAATACAAGATTCATCTCTCAACCTACCGGAAGCATTAAAGACATCAGAACTCAGTCCAAGAACGTGCTTTGTAATGGAGCCAGAATTTGTAGAAAGTGTATGATGTGCGGTTAAAACAGTATTTTAACTATTTCTTGAGCTAAAAGGAGAGTTGCCATGTGAGTGTTTTTTGTCAAGGTACCTGAGGTAAGGAGCCTTAAGGCTGTCTGGACACATAACCCAGCTTAGAGGCTGACTAGAAGTGTTTCTTAGGGGTTTATTTCATGGGATGCCATGAGCTGATGTAGAAGTTCATCTTTGCTGGGAGACGGTCTCACTCTTCTGCTTCTTCTTTTCCTCTCTGTATAGGTCTACCCACTTGTTTGCATGGCCTTTGTTCTTCAGAGCTTTCTCTGGGCTGATGTAACTCTCTGTAGTGTCTGAATACATCCATTTTTCATGTTGGGTAGTTTTCTGCCATTGTCAGTGACTTTAAGTTACTTCAGAGGAGTCTGCCGAGCACGGTAGTGGTGGAAGGTGAGCAACAGGCCCAGGTAGCCAGAAGGAAGGACTGAGACCTCCCTCTTGGCAATAGCTGTTAGGTTGGTTCACTGTGTCTTCTGAAACCCTGCTGTCCCATCTGCAGAATGCCTAGGTGAGGGATTTTTAACGTTACCTGTGTGATGACAATTATCAGATGAAGTTTGTTGTACATGAGAAATTGGCTTTGAATCTTTCTTCTTTTCCTGTGAGGACATGTGACTTTAAGGAACTCTTGTATCCTGTCTGTGTGCTTTCTTAAGGGTATTTCACAAAGAGGTTTAATGAATACTAGCAAGACCTTGAGTTCACTGGGCAGTCAATGGATGGAAAACCTGCCATCAGCATTCTCTCTTAAGAGATGAATTAAAAAATGATGGAGACCATACTGCTTATATACGGAGTGTGCATACCTTATGCTTTGCATAGGGGAGGTAGCATGTAAAAACCTTCTTCAATAGTTGAGGAAAAGCAGGTCACTGCAATATACAGTGTTAATCACTAACCAGCCAGACCAAGATAAAATGGCTTGTCGGAAATGGGATGTATGAAGAATATAATTTCATCTAAGCAAGCATATATTGCATATTAATGATAGGTAAATTGGCTTTCAGGGTGTGGAGAGAAATTAAAATAAACACTAGCTTCTGAAACTTGTCTGTCTCTTCCTTCTACAAAAGCACAGTTTAATAACAGAGGAGTAGTTTTGTTCAGGATTTCGGTTTCATGTGAGTATTTTCTATGACCAGTAATCTTGAGCTTTGGCTTTCTTTGCTGATTTTCAACTAGCAAAAGGCTATAACATTTATTTTTAAAAAGTCAGTGAATGAAACTTCCTCTTACTGTGTTATTTAACAGTAGCAAGAAGTCTGCAAGGTGCTGTGCAATAATTAAGATCTGTGGTCTTTGCCTGAGAGATTTTCAGTCTGAGTTTATAAGGTGCTGTGAGGTGAAGGAGCAAGTATAGGTGACACGGAAGGAGCAGAGATGGAAGATGAGGATTATAATTAACATGATTAGACAGGAGCATATTTTGGTGATTCAGCTGAGGTGTTGAACCTCACATGGAGGTTATGCACCATTGCCCCTCGCCATCACAGCGTGTGGGAACTGCAGAGTGCCTGCTGGGTGGGACTGGTGTGTCCTGTTCATAGGTACCGGCACTTGTATCCACTTTTCAGGTTCAGTATTGGGGTGTAAGAACATAGGACTGGGCTTGTTTGTGTTCAGGCCCCTGTGTCTGCAGGCAGTGACTTTGATTGCGAATGGCTGTGTGCTGTTTTTTTTTATATCTAACTCCATTTTTCATTGGGTGGATACCTTGGACGGTTGTCAGTGTTATCTGAAGCTTTTATTTTGTTTTCCCCGCCTCTATGGCTGCGAATTCTCATACATTCCAAATATCCTTATTACTCACAGCGTAGGTCCCATTGCTCAGCGTCGTTTGGAAGAGCTGGGCTTTCCAGCTGACTGGGAGCCTGTGGGGAAGGATAAGCCCTTTTTTACATGCTCACACCTAAATTATTTTTGATGGCACTCAGATTTCTCCAAGCAGGTGCCCCAGGACTGACAGCTGGCATGGCATGCTGCAGTATCACAACAGTGGCCGGGGAAAATGCACTGCAGATGGTAGGGGCAGCTTTCCCTCCGAGCGTGAGGCATTGAGAGAGGAATAAGAAGAGCTGTCAGAGTGGTACCATGCCTAATGGTTCTTTCCCCAGAAGAAATTTCATACTGCCTTGTATATGCTGATTGTCCTTCAGTAAAACCTAAGTGCGCTTTCTTGTTTTGAAAAGAGTGCATGCTTTAAAGCTGGACAGGATCCATCCCATCAGAATATCTCTAGAAGAGGAATTTGGCAATAGGCCTGTTTCTATTCTCTAGCTGATGGGTGGCTGTCAGACTGCATGAATAAATTTGGTGTCTGGAGGAAGTAATGGTGTATATAATCCTAGTGCTTTAGGAGCAGCACTTGACACTTTCTCATTTCTTTATAGAGCTTGATCTGCATACAAAATGTGTGGTGGATGTGGATGCAAACAAGGTTATTCTTCATCCTGTAAACACCAACCTTTCAAAAGGAGATGCCAGGTAAGATTTTTGAATTAGGAAGGTCAGGTTTCATAAATTAAATATGAGGGTAACAACTAGGAAATGTAGGCCTTGATAGAGGGCTTTCAGTTTAAAAAATAATATATATTCTTTCTGCAATGTAATTGCTATCATCTGTAAAATAAGGCTGATTTTACCATGCTGGGAAGATGCTTTGAAAACCTGGTGCTTACTACATTTGCCTCCTGTTCTAAACAGTGAGTTAGGAATTAATGGGCCTGTGAACTGTTTAATTTATTCTCGTATGCTGGTATGGAACAGAAGTTTAAATCTGCAAAATAATTTGAGCAGGGAACAGTTTGTCATTTTGGAATTAAATTAATTTTCACAATTACTTTCTCATAATGAGCTTGTATTCATAGTGTAAGAAATGGAATGGAAACATTCTGGAGAGGTGTAGCTCTAGGTGTGTCTTGACAGTGGTGCATTACATGCGTCAGAAATACTTAGGAAGGCAGCTAAGGGTAGGGACCAATTTATGCTGGAACTGGCAACCATTTGTTAAAACTATTACAGGACTTTTCAGTTTCACAGTAATTGATAGGGTTAAGGTTGTGACGACTTAATTTACTGCTTGCTTGCAAGCAGAGGAAATGAAAAAATGTATGCATGAACAAAATAGCAGGGGTGCAGGAAAACGTAAAACCCATTACTGACCATCTACAGTCAGTCATGATCTGTTCTGGGGAAAAAAAAAAAAAAAGAAGTGGTCTTAAGGGTGACAGAAATAAGAAAAATTCAGTTAAACACAAAAGAGCTTTGTTTAAATGCGATATACAGCTTTTTAATGTAAAGCTGAACTGTATGTCAGTGGTCAGTAGACATATTCTTTACCTGATTGCTGATAATTTAAACTTCTCAAACCCGAATGGTAGTAAATGGAAAAGGAAAGAGGTCATTGAGTGCAATAGGTACTTTCAGTTGTCATCAGCTGAAAGACTTATTGCAGACTGTGGGATTGGAGCTTTAATAAGTTACTTAAAATCAAACTGGCTGTGTGAGCTGGGGTGTGTTTGTTTATATCAATATCTGCCTCCTCCAGAAACATGTGTATTGTTTAGCTGCCAAATACCTATGTTGATTTGAGCCTTTAAACCAGCTAAAAATGGCAGGAGATTGAGATTCTCAGAAGCCTAGTCAGCCAGAGCTGTATTAAGAATGTTATTCATAGCTTCTCTAAAACATGGCAACCAATCCAATGCTGCACAGTTTATACTCCCTAATATATGTTTAAAAAATGTTCATGCTGCAGCCATGAGAGAATACATCATGCAAATCATGCCCCCTGGCAAGGGAGGAATTGGTTAGCAATTACGTTGACTTCCCAGACAAGATGGTGAGCCTAGTGTGAGAAACCAGCGTGCCAGACTGAAGAATACTTCATTTGCATTTTCACAAATACCCATTGCTAATCCAAGCAGGAAGCACAGTAAATTTATATGGGGTGATTTAATAGAAGAGGGAAAAGTGGAGGCCCATTAACTGCGCCAAAGGTTTGCCGGCAAACAGTGAGACAACATATCTCAAAACCATGGTTGCAGTAGTGAGGATTTGGAACAGGGTGCTACCTAGCATGTCATACCATTGAGAGAGGCTGCCACTAAATTGTCTTGGCTTCTGCAGCTTGATCAGAGGAATCTTAAATATCAGCTAAAGGAAAAGGTTAGTTTTAGCTATGATTTTTCTAAGTTTGGGGGTTAATTTATGCTCGGGTTGTGCTTCTTTTTCCAAATCCACTGTCAACAACTTTGCCTTGTGCTATAAAATCATTCATTTTGATTTCAGACTTGTCTAGTGTCTAAAGTGAGCTGAAGGATTTCTGGCAAACCTAGAGTGCTTTTAATTAAACAGAGAAAAGTAAATAATATTGTAAATACACTCTTTAGATGCTTGCGAAGCAGGGTAAGTTTGAAAAGCTTTCCATTTCAAATGCTTTCCTGCATTTTTCATTAAGACGCCAGGGTCAGTTTAGGAACTGTGAAAAGAATTTTAGAAACAGAAATCTGTGCTGTCACATCTCCACTTGTCATGACTCAGCTGTGCTCTGGCAGGGAGTGACATTTGGAAAAACAACCGATGACTTTTGGAAATATGGATGTTTTCCTGCTTCCATCTCCTCTGGTAGAAACCAAGTCTGGGAGATGGGTAGGTGTAAATAAATATTTTAATGGGTGAATTAGCCAGTGTCACAGTTACGCGATTTGTCCTGTTTCCCCAGGGTGGTCCTTGCAGGCCACAGATCTACATAATGTGTCTGTCCATCTGCAAAAAACCTCTGCCAGTCAGGTCAGTTAAAATGGCAAATATCTGACTTAGTGTTTTCAGTTGTCTCTGTGTTAAAGAGGAGAAGCAGGCTTTGGAGTTCTTACATGATACACTCATTTAGCCTTCTGATTTCCACTGGGACCTAGGAATGAATATGTACAGAAAAAATCAGAAATGTCCACTCTATGTATTTCATATTTTGACAGACACCCAACTTGAGGTGTGTGGGACCTGATTTTCAGACATAGCAAATCGTGTTGATGTAATTGCCCCTGAAACATTTTTCAGGTCGTAAGAAAAAAAGCATCTCTAGCTGTTTCAAATTTTGCATTAAAAATTAAGGAATGTTTGGAAAATCCAGGTAATAACTGATTGACCTCACTTTCTTCTGCATATGCAAACTGAATATATTGTTTACACATTTCTCTAGATACTTGAAGATTAATAAATGCATGTAAAAACACTTGCTCTCAGAAAAGAAAGTCTCTTTTCATATGACTTCAAAAATCTAGCATCTTCCTGTCAGTTATTCCTTAACCAAGAAATGACCTTTCCTGAGACAGAGAAATGCAGCAGTTTATTGAGCAATCCTTGATAGTGCTGTGCAGGTTTCGGTAATCTGATCACATACAAAAGATCGATTTAAAAATCCTTTTGGATGACCTCCAGGCTGGTAGGCTTTGATACTAACCTTGGGATGTTGGGGGGTGGGTTTGGTTGAATGGTGGTTTGTTGTATTAAAATGAAAATTATACTGCGTGGAAATGATCAACCTTTTCTTTAGTTGCTTTAACAAAATTGTTTGCTGCAGAGCCTTGAGTTTTGTCACAAATTTTCTAAAATGACCTATTTAAATCAGAATCTCCCCCCTCAAGGATGTGTGAACCTCAAGGGGTTTGCTGTAAGTGAACAGTGTTATTAGCATGACTTGTCAACTTTTTTGTTTGCCTGATGTAGTTGTCTGTTCTCTCTGTTGCAAAGGTCAAGGCTAAAGTTTTTTTATCAACATGGGATTTACTGTGTGCTGCAAAGATTACTCACAGCTTTATTACTTGGTGACTAGGGCTTGGAAGAGGGTGTGAACTCATTTTGATTGAAGTGAATAGGTAAGTCCTAGGCAACAACTGGAATGTTTATAGGAATTCATTTTTTGGAAAACCTCCAAATAGACTCTAATTACTCTAGGTTCCTTTATAGCTTTTTTTTTTTACTATCAATATGCTTGTGTTGTCATTTTATATTTCCCAAACAAGACCTATTAAAAAGACTTAAACAGTTATTATTTTTGACAGGTCAGATAGAGGAGTTTTATTATATACTGCAGAAATAACTGCAATTGATGTGTAACTGATACACAACCGATTTCTGAGCTTGTATTAATCTGGCACAGGCCTATGAATGAGACGTGATATTTGTAAAACAGAGTATTTATTAAATCTGCCCAACAAACCACCTTTAAGCCTTTTTTTCTGTTAAGAGAATATACATAAAAATGAAAGGAGTGCTGACTTCTGTGTACTTTTGTCACAATTTGTGGTTTATAGATGCTTTCCCTCTTGTTTTGCAGAACAGAGAGATTCCAAAGACTGGCACAGGGTAAAAACTATTCCAAGGAATGAGTGCAGCTATCTGAAGCTGACAAGTGTGTTAAACCAGGCTGGCTTTCTCCTTTTCAGCTACTGTAGTATCTTTATAATTAGTGCTTTGTAATAAATATTGCAATAATGGAGTACCTTTTATAAATACTTTAAAGAAGTGGCTTGCTTTTAAGGTATCTATTCCTGGATTTAAACCCATTTACTTCTGTGTATCCACACAGACAGCCTTTTTCCTCACGAAGTCGTGGTACTTAAACTCAATTTGATTGTTTTCTAAGGAGTTTTGGAAACTGAGAAGGGGCGTACTGTTATCGACTTAAGGATTTTTGTAGCCTTGCAACATCTGAGCTTGATTCCGGCTTTGATGAGGAACTGGATGCAGCCCAAGTATATTTTACTTATAAATGAATACTTTTATAAGATTCTTCTATCATTCAAAGTCCCATTTTCTTTCTGAGGCAAATGACAGCCCTGAAAAAGGTGGTGGGGAGAAATAATTTTGGATTACTTCCCTTGTAATTAAAACATGGTCACCTTTCAGAGCTGTAGGTAAATGATGCTTATCTTGTCATGGCAACTACTAATAATATTCCCAAAGAGAAAATTCTTCCATAATGAATTTAAAGATTGTTGAGAGAATAAAATGAATACTGACAGAATTTAGTGCAGAAGAACAGTTTAAAAAAAAATTCTACTTATACAGTAAGGAGGTAATAAACTGCTGATTTCAGATGAATGATTGAGTTTAGGCAGCAGTTGGGTTGAAATAAACAGCCTAGTGTGTTAAAACTTTTCATAGTTTGTCTTTGGACTGCAGTTTTTTTCTTCTTGTAAAACTGAAGAACCTTTTAATCCTTTTGAAGAAGAAGTGAAGATTAAGACCTAGACAGAATACTGTCAAAGATTTAGCTATTGAAAAAATGGTACTGGAAAACAATTACTGGAGTCTTAACTAAGCAAAGTTAGTTCACTCATTTTGAAGTGTTAAGTATGAAGTGAATAAATGGCAACAAACACATGCAATTTCTAAATTAAAAGAAAAAAAAATAGAAGAATTGGAAGGGCTTACTAATTAAAAAACACTACTGCTGTGATCCTGGGAATTAAAATGTATTT